AGTTTCAAGCGCCATACTACCATAAATCGAGCCCGACCTTTGTCTTTAAGGCGTATGTGCGCAGGTGAGCTTTTAATACCCTGCAACCTAGGGTATGAAACGAAACGATTGTATCGATGGAGGATTTGACTGATTTTGCGCCATACATCAATTCCCGACTCCTTTGTCGCCATGTGAATAAAATTGATCGGGAATCAATCTCAAAATGTTTTTCAAAAGAAGGGTTGCGAAATTTATCCTCATTCATTTTTCTTTCGTGATAAATCCCTAGAAGCTTCCCTTTTCGAGAGCATACCTTAAGTTCGCTTACCGTTACCTGGGATTACGTAATATCAGAATCAGTGGTACGAGGGGAGAACGCTTTCTCCAGTCCACGCGCTTTTATACTACCTGGCGCCAAGCGTTTCTGTGAGTCCGCATTAACGACAGCACAGGTCACGAGAACAAAGTATACATAGTTTGCAGCAGGATTAATCTCTGGAGCATTGTTCGTGAGGTGGTGTTGAGGTGTTTGTCTCAGGAAGGCTGACGCCTCAGTCGCACCTTAGCCCACTTGGGAAGTCGAGCTGAAGGCGACAACTGTAACCCTGATCACCGATCGATCTCCTTGGGATGTGCTTCGGAACACCCTCACAGAATTCCAGCGCTAGGTTTGACTTCAAAATAAAAGCGTGATGGGTAAAGGATTCAAATTACAGGAAACGGAATTCGCTTCGCGAACGCCTGAGACGGTGCGTCGCTCTGTCAGAAGGAGGGAGAGCAAAAGCTCACACCTGGTCAGGAAACTTTTCAGGCATAAAATATTATGTAAACGAAGTTTATTTTTGTGAACACTCAAATGATTGTTTAAGAGCGTGTCCGTCGACCATCCTACGGAGAACACCCCAGTTCGATCGCAGCTCGTTCAAGAGCAGCCGACAGCACCTCCGTCAACGCCAGTAGTTCCAGCCTATCAGCCAATGGACCCTCGTCTTCGCGAAACACTTCAGAAAATCAGAACCGAGTTGGAAACTGCACTACGGGCCACGGCATCTCCCACGACGAGAGTGTCTTTTCAGATCGAGAAATGATGAATCGTATAACTTGGGTAAGATAAAAAAGCATATAAAGTTACTACAGTTTTTAAGCAGCTTTTGGTGAACGAGTGGGCGATTAGGCGATTAGGCGATCGCTCGATGGGCGGAGCATCAAATCAATACACATCCTTCTCATATCGCCCACTCGCCTACTCGCCTAATCGACTACTCGCCTAATCGCCCATCGCGCCTAATCGCCTAATCGATACGTATACTTTTCTTTTTGAATCATCGCCCAATCGCCTAATCGCCTACAATCGCACGTACGATCGCCAACTATGAACGCTCATTAGCGGTTTGTTTATCCCATGAGCTTCCTTCTCACTCACTTCATTTTGCGGACGGACACACATACATACATACAACACACACATACAGACAGATACACAACCGACACACAAAGTTAGCGCTTTATAAAATAGAAGGATTCAGAAGGAACTCAGGCTTCGTCTTACCAGTCTCGACTTCACACCCTTGCGATCAGATGGGAACTGGGTGGTTCTCAGATGGAACACAGCCGTCATCCTTCCAGTCTCGTCTGCACACGCTTCGCGATCAACTTGGAACTGCGGTTCCCACATCGACAGCTCAACTTGGAACTGCTGTCCCCACATCGACTGCTCAACGAACTGCCATCCCCACATCGACGACTCATCGTACGGTACCAACCGCGCAGTACGGAACTGCGCTGAATACAGGAGTAGAACAGGTAAAGTGGTTATTTTCTAAAAGAGCTGACGATAACTTGTTGTTAAGGATAAATGTGCCTACTGTAAAGAGATTCTATGCCATCAATAGAGCGAAAATGGCGCTTTTGCAGGCAAAAGGTACATCCATGCCGGCCTAATGAAGCCATACCCGTCCCTTCGGAGGCCTCTTCCTTTGCCCACCCTCCGCTTGGCTACCCCAGCTGCTGGCCCGTCGCCGTTGGGCTCTGACGGTTTAGCAAAGAATCGGAGCAGGACCTTCACGTTGATGGTGTCAGCACCGATGAAGTTCGCCCAGCGCGGAAATCAACAGGGCAAACAGGAGTCACATTTTGCGGGTTCTATACCGTTTTCCTGAGTTTTTTCTTCACTGCAGCAGCTCCTGTCAGTTCTACTATGATTTCCAATGGATAATTATTTTTCTTACCATCCGCATTCACAAGGATCCATGATCTTCTGAGTGATCCCCCCCCCTCAAAATTGCGCGGAGTTAGGGCGACATTATCACATGCTTGCTTCTCCTCACTCAAAATACTGTATCTGCACACACCGTACATGCTTCCACTGTATCCCCCTGTCTGAATTGGCAAATTACTACAGATTAGGCGCAGACGCTAAACCAAAGTACTGAACGAAACGATACTGACTACCGAGTACTGAAAGTCAAGTGCCGGTGTACTCCAGCTAAAGATTGCTCGCAATCACTCCCACAATCCCTTTTCCTCCCTAAGGCATAGTCTCAAGGACTGTAAGTGGCCCACTAACTCGAATGTACCTCTCCCCTCCAGTCCCCTAACAACATGAGCGCCGTAAGGAATCATACAACATGCCGTTTCAAAAGTTCTTCTCTTACGATCGGCCGATAGTTCCGTATTTTTATCATACCTGCACTCCTCACCATTTCCAAACCAACCCCCACCCCCAATGGTGTTAGATGAAGTTTTTAAGATTAATGGTCGTGATATTCAAACGATAAAGTCTGATTCAAATGTTGTTCCATTTTACCCTACACCTTTGCCTCGAGCAGTCGCCCTCCCATGGTAAGCATAACCGCGGATCCAGGATTTGCCGTGGGTCATGGAATCTTACAGTCATTACGACTTCTTGATAAAAAGCGATCAATATCCTCTTCTGTTCAAGGCAGTGATTGTGATGGCTCCTAGGCAGATTTTAGTTGATGGTATCTTACTATAGCGTGCTGGGAGAGATTGGTCGGGGGAGGAATAGATTACCAAACCCTTTCCGAGCGCCCCTCCGTCAATGACGTCCCCAAGCGCAGTCCACCTAGCAGTCATCACAGTCATGCTTTTAGGAATTCACCCAGCACGGTACTTAGCTGCCCAATGTGACTGGGTACGCACAATGAGTGAGCAAACTTCAAATGAGGCTCAGAAGTGGCGCTATCGAATATACGGGGGCAATTACGGACCAATGCATTCACAGCGTGTACACATGAATCACGTTGATAACCTGGCTTTTTTTTGTTGAAATGCGCTATGGTAAACCTTAAGCGAGTAGAAAGAATTACTTGGGTGTTTAAAGGAATCCTCCACGGAAAAAGCTCCGCCCTCATTACCACAGAAAACGATACCTTAAAGGAATCTTCCACGGAAAGAGTGATCATTTTGTCTTGTGTGTAGGATTAGTATTATCGAACTAACGCTTATGTTCCGTTCTTTTTGCTCTTATGCTCAGACTGGCTAAGGTTCGTTTTCTCGGAAATCGGGCTGAGCTTTTCCGCGAAGATTCCTCAACAATCCATTCTCCAGGATCTCCTCGTAGCTAGTCCGCCCCCGCATGCTCGTATATGCGGTACCCGGGAATGAATAGGGTAATCCGGAGTTCTTTCTACATAAAACTTTATTTAACCCTAATTTTGTACGCCACTTATTGTATTTGTCTCACGAACTTCGTACTAAGGCTGAAGTGTTTTGACACGGCTGAAGGTGCCCGCCGTGCCCCGATAAAAAAGGAACGACACATAACAGACACGGACAAAATGCAAAAGACCATACCTCATCGCACATTGTGGCAACCATTATGCCACGAACATCACACTTACTTTTTTGTGCTCATGTCCGATTTCTTCCAAAGTTTTTTTTTATGTGCACTTTATGAGCCATGCTTCAACACAACCAAGAACCACGTGGCTTTACAAAATGCGCAGCATATCTTCACCTCGGCGGAGATTTTTCCAGACCTTACAAAAATGTCTGTTTAGTTCTCTACTCGTTTTCTTTTCATTGACGTGAAACTGAGGATGAGACTATTAGAAGTGAGTAAAAACCCATTTGTATGACAAGAGATGTGTTTTTACTGAAACAACCACGTACAAAATAATTTTGAAACCATTATGGCGAAAGCGAGTAAAATTTGCCTTTTCATGGCCATAACACCTCATTTTGGTCGGAGTTCCATTGCTATTTGCTCCCGGTAATTTACACACATCGAAAACTAGTGAAAAACTTTCTCTCGCATAGAATTTTTGCGAAGGTAAAAAGATAAAGCATTTGCCGTTGATCAATCCCTTTTTGGGATGCGGCACGCATTCTACTTCCATTTGTACATTCGTAGTGGCGTTTGAATGCGATGTGGCCTATACAATGACTTGCGGGGGCCAGCCGATGTACAAGTCAGTGTTTTTTTTTTTCCTTAACTTCGTAGTCTGTATCAATTCGTCCGAAGCACGCCAGCAAAGTCAACTCCCACTCGTCTCAGGCTGCAGGGGACTGTTGCTCCTGCTCATTCACTTCGGGACACCTACTGTCCACGATCACGATGCCTTCTTAGTAGCCCACTGAGTTAAGAGTGTTATGGTGTGAGCTTGAGCTTATTGTGAGCAGAATTATTAAGATGACGAACACCGCCGAGTGCACACCTCACACCACAAACGACGACGGCCTCCAAGTAAATCTGGTTAGTAGTACTTCATAGTGGCTGATTTTTAGTCAATGATAGCTGTTATTCGTGATCATCGACAGAACCTACAAATGAAGGCTATTCTTGCAGGAAACATTTACATTTTGTAAAAGGCCGTCGTTACTTGTGGTGCAGGGCCTGTATCCGACGCTTTCTCATTTTTTGAAAGGAGGGGTATGTATTGTCGTGCTAGCCGATTCTCGTGCTTCTGGTCATGTTATCGGCCGCATAGCTGGCAAAATTGCGGCGATCTGTTCATAGATGCCAGCTTTTGAAAAAACACCCATTTACCTGGAATCGGGGGATCGTGAAAAGATTAAACAGGGAGGCATACTCAATTGTGTCATATATCAAAGGCCCGACTTCTACTTATGAGGCAGGGCTTTAAAAAGCAGCCGACGATCAAGATGGTGTGGTTCTTACGAATACGAATGTATTGGTGCGAAATGGGCCGGCAGAAAAGAAAAAACGATAAGAATTCGTCCAAGACGCTTGGGCTAAGGCAATGAGAGACTGAGCACTGAGAGGAGAGCATGAGGTAAGAGAGCGCAATAGTTGAGAGGGCACCAGACAACAGCCTGACTTTGTACAAAACTGCCGCTGCTGATCTACCCTGCAGGTATAGCGCTCTTGTTGTCCGACGTTTCGTGCGGAATCGCACACCTGTATTGTCCTTCCCAGAGCTCTAATCCTGCAGGCCCGCAAGGCAATTCGTCACACGAACCTGCATGGGTTTTTGGCCTTCGAATGACTCAATAATATAAAATGGCGATCCCATCCGTTTCCAAGTTGACATTCCTAACAATCGTATGTGCGGAAGGCCATTGCGGCCGCTGATTATTTGGAGGGTGGCCTGGTTGAAAAATATAATAAAGAGAATTCCGCCTCACACTTCAGTCAAAGATAACTTCACCTCATCAGGAGAAAGGACGCTGAAGCAATAGAAAAAGTGCAAAACAATTTCACACGCAAGATTCTGTTACGAAGCGGAAGTTTTCAATATTCTAGGATTCCAAACGCTGCCATTCGGAATAGACATTTCAATCTCGATACTCTTGAATCACGGCGAAAAGTATTTGACGTATGTAGTATTTGACGTATGTATGGTTCATAAGCTTCTGTACCACTGTAATGAGTTTGGCCCATTTGAACTCTACAAAACAGTGCATTCTCGGACTAGAGGAGGTCCAATCAAAATATTTCTTGCTAGGCCTAGAACAAATGTTAGAGCCAAAAGCTTTACGTTTCGTGCTGGAAGTTTATATAACAAAGTAACTAAGAGTTTCGCGGTCCCAGGTTCTTCAAAAGTGTTCAAGCGGCATATAATTGCAGCCTTATTCAAACTCTCAGCTTCCTAGTTCCTTGAGATTAACCATTTTATCTGTTCCCTGGATGTATTGCTCTCTTATAGCTTTCTTATTCCTTTGTTGCTTGTAGTTTCGATCAATTGTTACTTGCTATTGTATATTCGTGTTTTGTTTTCTTGTTCTTATGTGATTTTCTGGCTGTTTTCTTGCGTTTGACTTAGCAACGTAATAAAACAAACAAAACAAAACAAAACAAAAACTTAACCTGTCTAAAAGTTGATCAAAGTAAAAAAATTCCCTCCATCATGTTATGTATGTCGGCGCTACCGCAGGATACGGGACATCATCTAGGGCTGAGCCTAGAGGAGCAGAATTCCGGAGGAAGTGGAAAATCGTCAAAGCACCAAATATTCTTTCCCACTAGTATAAGGCTCAGATCCGATTAACAAAAGGGACGTTTTACGCGGTTTTAAATGCATTGCCATGACAGTGCCCGTGTCTAACGCCGGTATGCCTAAAGATAGATCATCTCATGATCCGTGGAATACACAGCATCAGGGTGACCTCCAGGTTTGAATGATCATTGC